TGTTTTGATTTGACAAAAATCATATAAGTTCTTGAACTTAATATCAAGCATTTGAAATTGTCTCAAATATATTTTTAACCCTTTAGGTTACATATTTGTTTGAAAATTCATAAATCATTAGAAAACATTTTATATGCTTTCAAACAATGCATATACAACTTAAAATGCAAGAGTAAACATGCCTTGAAATGTTATTTGAATGTAGGAACAAGGCAATAAGGAAATAGTTGGAGAAAAGCTCCAAAAAGCTAAGCAAACCTCAAGACACAAGCCAAAAGGCAATCTTAGAGAAGCTATAGTTGATTTAAAGGCTGTAAAAGTGCAAAACTTGAAGATTATAAAGTCATAGTTAACCTTGAAGTGTCTACACTCAACTTTGATCCAGAAAGCTCAAGAAAATCAAGTTTTGAATAGTCATAGTCGACCCTAAGTGTAGTGGACCTTGATGAGTCAAAAGCTTCAAAGTATTGACTTTACACAACCATTGTAGACTATAGAGGAGGCATAGTCAACTATAGTAGCATAGATTTGCAAAAAACATGCTATCGGGGAGATAGATCGAGTAGGGGAAGGTTATACTCGACTATAGAATCCTAATTTGAAAAATTTGAAGAACACAGTCAACCCTCAAGCTTTAACAATGGTAAGATTTGATTCAAACTTGTGTCTAACGGCTCCAAATTTTATCCCAACTATAAATAAACGCATTTAAGCCATTTTGAAGCAAGAGAAAACTTGAACCAAAGCTTCAAACCATAGAAAAACTTTGAAAAACTCATATTCATTCTCTAACATCTTTTTAGTCTTCCACAAAGCTTACAAAGTTGAATACTTGCTTTATTTGAGTTGATTTTTCTTCTTTCACTACACGTAAGCTAAAATCTCTAACATCTAGTCTTTGTGAGGTAAATCTTTTGTATTACTCCTTTATACACATTTTATTGTAAAGGTTCTAGCTTAACCTTGAAAAGCTATTTGCGAGGGTTTGTGGTTGAGCCTTTAAAAACCATTGTTGGTGGGTTATCGCTTGATCCCCCAAAAAAGCAAGAATCATGTTATGGATTGTATGAGGGTTATCACTGTATCTTGTAAAAAAGTCGTTATAAGGGTTATCGCTTGATTCCATTTAAAAGCAATAATCCCTTTAGTGGATTATATGAGGGTTATTGTTTTGTCCCATTAAAAAGCAAGAATCCTTGATAGTGGATTAAAATTCTTTAGTCACCAAGGAAGTGGATGAAGGAATCAGAAAAGTTGAACCATTATAAATATTTTGTGTATTTTCTTAATTTTTCACATTATTATTCATTGCTAATACTTAGCTTAGGAAAATTGTTTTATATTGAATTTTTGTTTCACTTAGGAAAATATTTTTCCCTTTATTTTTATAGTGAGCAATTAAATTTAGGAACAGTGTTTTACTTTGGTATATTATTTTTATGTTTAGTGATTTATTATTGGAAACTTTATTTTGATGCTAGAAAATATATTTTAGGGAAAAAGGTTTGATTTTTATACTTAGAGTATCCAAAGAAATTTAAATATCAATTCAACCCTTCTTGATATATTGTTTATTGAGACTTTTATTCTAACATAGTGATTTTGATAAGAATGATTCCAATGAAGCTTTTCATGGAATTGAGTTATTATCAATAAAAATTTCTATTGGAGATGATATTTTAGTTTTAACTAAAACTATAAGCATGTTCCAAACAATGATATGCTCTAGTTAGAAGGTGTTGCAATCCTTGTGGTCTTATTTACTGTCAATGTCTTCGGCACTAGGCATGTCTTGTTACCTAAAAGGACTTTTCTCTTGTTACCATTTTGTTACTGGTTCATGATGCTTGGAAACCTATTGGTAAGCTATGTAATGAGCAAATGTGTGCTTCGATGGGTTTGATGAAGTAATTCGTATATGCTTTGATGATTTGCATAGCTTGATGTGACTATTTATGTATGCACTCATTGAGTTAATGAGAACCCACCCCAATGTCTTGTTCCTATGTGCAGATAAGTAGCTCCGGGGATTCCTGTGCAAGAAGCAAGTGGTTAACATTAGCCAGGTTATCAACACTTTTGACAATCGGTAGGAACTTTGATCTATGTGTCCACTCCACTGGTCAATACATATGTATGGGTTATTTATATTGATGGCATTGTATTGCCTTTATGTTTGTAATAACTGTGAACTGCTATGTATGGGCTTCAGATCCACTATGATAGCCAATGTATGGCTCTTGTCAATAAATCAAGGTTGTACTCTTGTTGATTGAAATGTTATGGGCAGTTTGTTATGGATGTATTTAAACTTGTGTTATTAAATGTGTCATCTAGGCCTTATGAATTATTGTTAATGTCTACTTGTCTACCCGTTTTGTGAGAGGCTTGCTAGGGTTTTATGGGTTCTACTTGCTGGACTCGCGTGTTGGTCATGGCCAGGACAATAAAAAAAGGTTTTTTGCATTTTTCTCAACCTATTTTACCTTTTAATTGATTTAGTTTTTTCTAGAATCCTCTCTTTTTATTCCTTTTGAAAAAAAATCTATATATAATTTTCAACATTAGGATTTTAGACTATTGTCAATCTCATATTTTTTTTCATCTCCTTTCTCTCTTTTCCTCAATTATTTCTTTTAAAATCACCTCCTTTCCCTAAGAAAAACCCTAGACTTGAATCTTTTTTTTCACTTTCTCTCCCTTTTCCCCATGTGTAGCCTTCTTTGCCTCATCTTTGACATAGTAATTCTTTTCTTCCCCCTTTCATTATTAAAATTAATTTTTTTTATGAAAAATATTTTGTTGAAAATACTTGACAGAATTGCGATTGAATGTCGGTAGATTGAGAGAGTCGTTATTACCGATGAAATATAGGTAGTTAAATATTGGTTGGAATGCTTTTTGGTGCGAAATGATAGCATAAGGTGAGAAATTATCAATGTAATTTTTTGTCAATAAATTGATTTTTCGATCAAATTTCTAATAGAGTGATCCATCGGAAGCCTTAGTCGGTATTTTTTAACAAAAATTTCATCAATAAATCTAAAAGATAAAAAACCTGATCGAGCTTTTTCCCTATTTTCCTTAAATCTCAAATTAAATTCTTAAACCCTTAACATCTCTCTTTTCTCTTCTCCCCATGCCTCCAACCAAAGATTGATCTTCCTTTTGCCTTTGACAAGTCTACTTTTTCACCGATCACTCTCTAATCTTCCCTTCGTTGCCAACTAGCCTCCATTATCAACTCTCCTCTTTCTTGTCTTCTTTTAATATATATTTTCAAAATAACTTGTTTTTCTCTTTTAATATCTTTAAACAATAAAACTGTTTATGACTTCACCCATATACCGGGTGTGCCAAAGACTAGTACATAAATAAAAAAAAAACATAATGCTCAAAAAAGCCTCTGAATTATTCTTTTATCGTATTCAATCAAACTTTTATAATTTTATTTTAGATCAAATAAGCCTTTATGATTAATAGTTGACTAATTACCGTTAAGCAAAATACACATCGTCATTTTATATCCATACGGTGCTACCATAGCACTAATATGGAAGGTGAAAAATGTAATATGGTCATATTTTCATATTAAATTGACATACGTCATCATCTATTATGACATGTCAACATACCACGTTAGTATCATACATAAAATGACAAATAATATTATAACTAAGTCAACTGTTAGTGATAAGGGTTTATTTGGCGCAAAATAAAAGTACGAAAATCTATTTGACTCAAAATGAAAATAAATAAGCTTAATTGAACGTAATAAAAATATGAAAACTTATTTAAATTTTTTAAAATAATTTAAAAGCTTTTTTAGATATTATATCACAAAAATAAAATTTTGATCATTATATTAGATTCTCTAATAGAGTCAACTCAAGTCTGTATGGTTTAAAACTCTTGGTTTTAATTCAAATACTAATTGAGTAGAAGCTTAAACTAGTTTATATTCCTTTGGTTACAATATAAAGACTTTCTTGAGATTTAATTGAAAATAAATTTATTGATTATTAATTTAGAAGACATTATTTTATTATATAAAAATTGGTTGAAAATACACTTATTTTTTTAGAAAATAATAAGTGTTAATTATTAAAATATCTTCAAAGGAAAAGATTAGTGTATCTCTTTGTTATTTATTTCTTCATTTTATAGTTTACCTCTTCCTCTTTTTTTTTCGGTGTGCTTTCTCTTTTAACTTTTTTTTTCTTTTTCAAAACTTTTTATCTTTATATACAAAATTATGAGATTTCATTAGTTATGAATACAATTGAAAATTTTAATTAGTTTTAAAATCATTTTTAATTATTATCAAATTAAATTTGAATTAGGTCATTTTGTAATTGAACTACGTATTGAACATATTAAATTATATATAATTTAATTACGAATAATAAGTGTCATCCATGGCATTTTTTTCTATTGAAAATAAACTTTCACTCATTAGTTTGGAAAACCCTTTTTTATCACTTTTCAAAAATTATGTATATTATGATACCATTAATCGAATTAATATTTGTTCAACGTTTACTTAAAAAACTATAATTGTTCTCATTTTCTTTGATTTTCCTTTTTCTCCTCTTCCCCCCCACCCCCCCTAGTTTTCATTTTATTTTTTAATTCATTTCTTTATCAAAACATATTTTTACAAATTTGTGATAATTAATCTATTTTAACTAACTAAAGGTAATTTAATACATTCATCTCCAAAGCAATATGTAGTTGAATTAAAGGTAACTTCAATAAATTTACTATGTAATTTAATTAAAATATAAAATAATTAAGTTTATTTGATAATAGGTAAAGATGATTTTAAAACTAATTAAATCATATAATTTTGTAGTTAAATATGTCTCGTATAAAATGGGGAAAAAGAGAAATAAATATTTAACGAAAGATGTGTTCGTATTTTTATTTAAAGTTAACTTACATAATTTAAAATAATACCTGTATAGGAGGTGAATGTGTTTTCCCAGAATATTTCCTATCTCTTTATTTGATCAAAACTTTGGATGGCAATGCAGCCCAGCCCACAACTCAATTGGACCAAAAACTTGTAAACGGGAGGAGATGATGCCGGATAAGATCAGTGCGTTTTTTTTTCTTTTTGTGGAACTTTGATTGATTTGATAATGTGAAGGAAAGTACGAGAAAGTGGTAACGAGGAGCAAAAACAAATCGAAGAAGGAGAAATGGGAAGTTCATCGAATGATGATTTCTCGGTGGTGGTGCTTGCTTCAGATTTGGGTGTTGACGCGCGTCCTTTCTTAGCAAACCAAGACAGAGAAATCGAAGACCAAGATAACTGGCATGACTGTTCTCAGGATTTCTCTGATGAAGATTTCTCCGACCTCGATGTCCTCCACTTCTTCCGCTTCCAGGGCTCTGATAAATCTGGTAATCGCATTATCCGCATCGTTGGAAAGTACTTTCCCGGTAAATACACCAACCCCCCTTTAACAATTTTTCTTTATTTTTTACTTTTAATTTTGGGTTTTACACGTTTGAAGTTTTAGCTTGTAATTTGTGTTTGATTTGCGAATTTGGAATTTTTATTTTTTCAGTAAGTTTAGTTGGATAGGCTGTAATAGTTGGAACATGTCGAAATGAATTAGGTAAATGCGTTGGATTCTGGTACGTTAACAGTGCAAGGATGTCGATGATTTGAGCTGTTAAAAGCTGATGTTCTTTACTCTCTTTGATCAAATAATAATAATAATAATAATAGAAAAGTATTGATTGTAATGTTCTTTTCCTCTCTACCCAATTCCATGGCCTTCTTCAACCTTTATCTTGTTGATGATTTACTTGTGATAGAGAACCCTGTTGCCTTACCAATTTCTACGACTTTCTGGCATATGATTTTGAATTTCTACCAAGTATCATCCCAGTTCTCCTGTCACCATTGCAACCGTTTTCTAGAAACTAATCTATTCAACTTCACCTAACGTTTGTCACATCATGCAACCCTAAACCCCACTATGGAACTAAGGCTGTGTTTAGCATACAAGATGATGGAGAGGATAGGATAAAATGACCTTCCATTAGGTTTGATATTTACTTGGAAAGGAGGATAGTATCATAAATCAGACGACTTATCCTCTGAGAAGATAAATACTTAATCTTGTTGAAAATGACTGTTTTGATCCTATGGCATAAGATTATGAACTGGATACTAAGCAATGAATATTGTTTTTGTTTTGCTGTTTGGCCCTAAAAGTTTCGTTTTCCTTTAAAAAATTAAAATATTTAGTATAAAATGGTATAGCGAGGGATAATAATGACCAATGACAAAAGCATCATCCTATCCTACACCAAACATGGCTTAGGATGAAATTTATGATATTCTACTTTTAATCCTTTATATGCTTAACATGAGATAGGGTGAGACCATCTAATCCTATACTTTTGCTTATCTTGTCTCATTTTATCCTTTCTACCATACTGTATTCCAAATGCATTGCATTTTAGAATGTCTGAATTCTTCTTTCCATTAGTTGCACTACTTCTGTGCAGCTCAGTGATCAGTGCCTGCGGTCGGGCATTTCATTTCTTTGAAGAGTTTCATTTTGATTATGATTTCATTTTGTGTTAATTGATGCTTTCTTGATTTGTACACATGAGATGATTCCATCTTGAACAAATTTTATAGAGTTTCATCAGGTTTCTGTTGTTCATCTAGGAAATTTTGAGTTGGCTTTTTACAAATTACTTGGTTCTTTGATGATATACAGCTCCTGTTGTTAGTGGGGAGCGGCTGAAGAAATATATATTCCACAAGATATGTAGTGAGTTGCCTGAAGGTCCATTCTGCATAGTTTATGTGCATAGTACAGTGCAAAAGGAAGACAACTCCCCTGGTGTTACTATCATGAGGTGGATTTATGAAGAACTTCCTTCTGAGATCAAGGATAGGCTGCAAGTTGTCTACTTCATACACCCTGGGCTTCGTTCAAGGCTTGTCTTTGCCACTCTTGGCCGACTTTTCTTAAGTGGAGGGTGAGTTGCTTTGAATGTTGCTAGACCATGTCTAGTTTACCAGTGTGGTTATCTAGTAATTTACCCTTAGTCAGATGCAAATGCTTTCTTGTTCTGATCCTTGAACTTACGCATCAAAGCTCCTGCAGCCCATTAAAATATGCTTAATTATTGTATCAATTAGACTAACAGTAAATAGCAATAAATAGATTAAGCAGCCTACTTGGTAATGCAGAGGTTACAGATTTGCTGTTATTTTGGCCTTATTTGCATTAACTGCTTACTTTTTTCTTCCCCAGTTTATACTGGAAGATCAAGTATGTAAACCGCCTACAGTACCTTTGGGATGACATAAAGAAAGGAGAGGTTGAGATTCCTGAATTTGTGCAAAACCATGACAAGGTTCTCGAGCACCGACCCCTAACAGATTATGGCATTGAACCAGATCCTCTTCACTTAACAGAGGTACCTAGTGCAGCCTACTCATTAGGTAGGTATGAAGAGAGATTGGCCTCAAGGGAATTCATGTCTTAGCTATGATATTAAATACACAGCTGAAAACCCACTGAAAAGGTTAGCAAGCTCTGCCTGTAAAAACAAGAATTCGGAATTGTACATAATAGTCTTTTATCCTGTGCCTTATTCACTGAGAAGTCACTGCATTGTACTTTTAAATTACAAAAATTTGATGTTGTATGGTAGACATTTATATATGGATGTATTCTGTTTCATCTCTGATTTAGATGCTAGTTGTCATAGCAAAAATTCTTCAACTTTTTATGTCAGATTCCAGAAAGTTGACAATTAGTTTTTCAAATGGATATTTTTGGCATTTTGTTGGAAGAACCTAACATCTTGCAACGTGATTCTTTCTGCCAATTACAGAAAGAGCTGCGGTTTTTGGTCGCCTAGTGATGAAATCTTAAGAAATCTGGCATTTCCTGGAAGTTAGATGATAAAAGTACAAAGTCCGAAACAAAAAAGAGTGGCTTAAAGCTGAGTTAAACCGTATTGTCACTAGAAATCTATTTTGGTAGCTGTACCTTCTGTTCATAATCATGTACAGGCTGGCTTAACAAATCCAAATGAAACTGTAATATGGTTCGCACGTTTACACTCGCTATGAAGGGCAAGATTAGGAATTGACATTATTGTCTTCAAAGGCAAGATCCTGTGAGGTAGACTCCAATAAATGTTAGTACCAAACTGAGATATATTCTGCCAGCATTAATTTTGTGGTATAATCGTTCAGTGTCATTAAGAATTAAACATGCACTCCAGTGAATCTTCTACATCATGCTCAAAATCAACCTACCATATAGAGAATAGTATCACATTACAATCCAATACTTAAAGCACTACTAATTTTTCCCAAGGTTGTTAGAGAGAGAGAGAGAGAGAGATGGGGTGCAGCCAGTCCAAGGATCAAGGTCAGATCTCTAAACCATGAAATGCGTTTTCTTTGTTTATCATCCGAGTTATGTCTACTTCATTCTCTGTCCCTTTGAATCTTGTATTTCTGACCCCTTTTCGACATGGAATTTAGTTTTGCATGGAAGTCATGTTGCAACCAAGTCCAGCGGAAAGAGTACGGTCAAAGATGACAAGAAAATTGCAATGAAGACAGAGATGTGCCATGCTGAGATGGTCAAGCAAGCCACCAATGAAAGACAGGGGCATGGGCTTGACCCCAGGAAAGAAAAGCTTGAAGCAATTGAGGAGGAGCATGAATCAGAGGATGAGCCTTTTTATTCAGCAGACGAAGAAATTAATCCTCAGAAAGAAAATCACAATCCTAAGGTGCATTAACCATGTATGGCAACTTCTAAATTTAATTCATTCCCTCTTTATTCGAGCCCCCAACTCTTTTTGCTGAATTTATTAAATGATATAGGCAATTCTTTTGTTATTTCCTGATCAAACCATTTTTTTTTTTTTTGTAAAAAAAAATGGAATCTGAACCCAACTCTTTAGTAGTGCTTACTTCTTCCCTACATTTTGAAGTCATTTTGATAGTAATATATCAAGCCTGTGTTTGGTTATAATATTCGGAATATAATATTATCTTGCTTGGTTGACCCAGAATTTAAAATTCCTATTGATTATTTTAGTAAAATAGCCTTCAATATTAAAGTAATTAAATGAACCTATTAAAAATAAAATTCTCTTTGAATTTACACATGTTGGAATTATAACAAAGCAAATTGAAAAACATATAATTAACAAAGTATATATATATATATATAGGGATATATAATTGCATTTATAGTATAAAGAACCTGCTTTCATTGTTACATATTCTTGAACATTTCTTAATTTTGCTCATAAGAACTAAGTATCCATATTTTGACACTAACAATCCAACTACACAGAACAAAGTTTTGTTCTACACAAGAAAAATTGCTCAAATTAACAACCATAATTAGTCCTTTGTTATGGGAGGAATCATTTTCCAATGTACAAAATTATCAAAATTATAAAATCTCCAATAACAAATCCCATAATGAGTCCTTTGTTATGTGAGGAATCAATTGCATATTTGTCAATGATATCATTTAAAATTTTTGTAGATACTTGTTGTTTTGTCTCATTTAAGTTCCAATACTCTAGAAAAGTATTTTCTACATCGTTGGATCCTTATACGATACCTCAAGACTTGTAATTTAGTCTCTTTCCAAGTATTATATAGATATAATATTTGAAAATACTCTTAAATTATTTAAAAAATTTAAATAAGTTTTTATTCTTTTATTATATTCAATTGAGATTTTATATTTTTATTTTGAGTTAATAGGTGTCATTTTTCATTTTATACTCACATGATGCTAATATGAAAAGTGAAAAATACTATACAATTATGTTATCATGTTGCATTAGCGTATCATATCGTCATATATTTTATTATGTCAGCATATCATATCAATATGACATGGTATAGAATAATAAATGATATTTTGACTAAACAACCATTAGTTATGAGAATTTATTTTGTACAAAATAAAAATTTAATAGCTTAATAGAATGTAATAAAAAAAATAAAAACTTATTTGAATTTTTTTAGATAGTGTAGGAATTTTTTTTATTAGTATGCTTATTCATACACAACAAAAAAATTCTACTATTTTTAAAAAAAAAACCAAGAGAAATAAAATGACTATAAATAAGTACTCATCCTGGTAGCATGCAAATAAAAAAGTACACATACGTTGTCAACAATTAAACATAACCAACTTAAACCTAAATAAATAACTTCATTTAAAATAAGCAAACAAAGCATGACAAAGTTAAAAACATAATTAGTTATTCACATAATCTAGTGCTACTCATCATCAACTCCTGGACCGTCAACAAACTCATTATCTAGTTTTTTCCTGCTTCTCAATCCCTTCAAAAACAGATGCTAAATCCGCAAACAAAGATATAAAGATATAGGCTTGTTTTGAATCTAGCTAGCTTGTGAAGGGGTGATCCTAAAAATATAATATTCTTAAACAGAATTATGACCTTAAACCATAGATCAAATGCAAGTACCTCTCCAACTAGCTAATGTTTATCCATATTCCAAGCAAATCCCAGTGGATTTCTCAATATTTCATCAATAATAAAATATTATCTTTTAAACGTCTTTGTTTTAGTATGAATATATATGGTGTACAACAAGTCCAATACCAAGCAACGTTCGCTCTATTAGTAGTGGTGCATACACCCATTTCAACGAGTGTGATCATACAATCTACTAGTTCACGTACCTCGTCAAGTGTCCATGAAGCTTAGTGATTCTTCATGATCAAGACACTCAAAACACCAAAGCAAAGAAAAGTTAATTATTATCCATGCCTATTTCTCTCAATAGATTCTTGCTATTCTTTCTTGTTTGACGTAACCTTTTTTTTTTCTTTACCTACTGCTTGTGTTTCCTTTTTATTTTCTTAAAAAAACCCTTGTCAATCAAATGACCTTGACAATCAGTAGCTAAGTTGAATGGGGCTACACCCCATTGTGGGCCATTGGACTCCCATGAATATAACAACCACTCTTTTAATACTAGGAGGAGATTAACTGCTAAACTTTCACTTGGAGTCTACTCTGATTTGCTCAGCGTAGAGCGTCAGCTTCCCCTCAATTAATTAATGTAACGAGGGAGTTACGAGGGATAAGAATGATTTGTTCAAAGTTTTTTTCTCATAAGCTATAGGGGTCGATGACACAACTCTTATCGAAGTCAAACAAATTAAAAAGGGTAAAGTTATTTTTTAAAATATAACGTGTAACAAATCTTTTTTAATATTACGTGTGACAACATATTTTTAATATGGTGTGTAGTAAAATTTTAAAACATAGCATGTAATGTGTAAATTAACTAATTTTGTTTTTCAAAATTTCAGTAATGTGTCAATTGTGTGACTCGTGATAAGACATGGTGGTCAGTGGGTCGATGGCATTTGCAAGGGTTGTGAGTCACAAATACGGGGGGTTAAGAGTAATTTATCATTTGTGTGCTTAATAAAGTTGGTCAAAGATGTTGTTGGGGTAAACTCACAAATTCACAAGATTAAGTTACATGCATTGATTACTACAGCCGAAGAGCTATCACGTTTAATTATCAAGGACAACGAAAATGTTGCATTAATTTTGCTAAAGAATAGGAATGTTTCGACAGTGTACGTCATCGTTAAGGAATGCCATACAAATGTTATCCTACATGGAGAAGTTGTACAACATAATAATCACCTTAATCAAATCGAGATTTATAATGCTTCACATATATGACAATATTTGATCCCTAATCCACAACAATGGCAATCGACGTATGCACGTGAGTTTGTGCAGCTTGGTAGACACACGACATTCACACAATAATTAGCTACACAATTTTGATCAGTATGTGCATCGAACCAATCACTTGTTTTTATCCAACCAAAACAACCATCGGGTGAAATTGTAAAATGTGTAATGCCATTTTCAAATGACACTAAGACACTTAAGGATGACCTTGCAACGCTCGAGGATAATATTACATCTGATCAAGGTGAAGAGGATTGGTTCCTTGTAGGTAAAGATAGATTTGTTGACGATTTTGATGGCGGCCCTAATGAATGGCATGATGATAGTTTAGACGATGACTGGTTTTATGATAGTGACATTCTAAATTGCAATGATGTTGAAGGCAAACCAAAACATGTTTGAGATGTTGATGTAGGAGATGTTTAGTGTGATGACTCCATATACAATAACCCCATCGTTGGTGACAACGGGATTCGTTTGCTTGAGACATTACTTAATGACAATTATTAAGAAAGGGGGAATGCAAGAGTATCTCGTATGTGGCTTATTTTGGGTATAGAAAGGTTCTCCTTCCAAGCAATTACCATTGAAGAATTGACATTTGCTGATGATTGGTTATACAAAAGAATAATGTTTTCCTCCAAAGCCAAATTGAAACGAGTTTTGAACATGTTGGCATTAAAAGAGCAGTTTGTGATAAATGTAAAAAAGTTATATCAAGCTCGTTTTTTAGGTTGCTTGTAAGGACATAACATGCAAATTCGGTGTGCATGTAATGAGGTTACCTAAAGGAGAATATTGAAAAGTTCAGACGTTTCACAAAATACACACATGTATTGTGGATGGTTTACAAAGGCGATTTCGAACAGCAAGTGTGAAGATAATTGGTGAACTTACGTCTCACAAGCATCTGGTTAATGAAGTATCATTGAGACCTAAGGACATAATTGATGA